GAGTAAAAAACGGTTTTAATGGGGGGTGACAGAAAAAAAGGATTTTTAGATAGTCCAGACCCCCAAAAAATAAGTTTGTTACTTTTTGGGGGCCCAATTTATAAAAAATTTAAAAAAGGCATCCCTTAAAAAAGGGACTTTTTAACTGAAAGTGGTTTTAAAGATTTAGTCCTGGTTTCACAGGATGTTTATATTCCCTTTCCCAGGGAAAATAAAAAACAGAGGCAAACAGTTTCCCCTCCCGAAAAAAAAAAAAATTCCTGTGGGGAAAAAAAAAATAGAAAAACCCAAAAAGGGGAAAAGGGGAAATGAGAATTAAACCCTTTCTTCAGAAAAATTTTTTTTGGGTTTTTCCATTTTTGGAAAAAAAATGGGGAAGTTTCTTTTTAAGTTTCCCTTTTCTTAAAAATTCATTTTTCCCAATATTTGTTTTTTTTCCCCCAGGGGACCCTAACAGAAGATGATTCTGCAGGGAAAAAATTTTTTTTTACTGGAAAAATTAAACTGTTTTGAGGGGGTTTTAAAATGCTACTGGAAAAATATAAAGACAAAATTTTTCTTTTTCCCCAGCAATTAATTAGGGTTTTTAAAACAATTTTAACAGTTTTAATTTAAAACAAAATTTCCTTCCTACATTTTTTTTGGGGAAACCGTTTTTTAATATCAGTAAAAGGTAAAAAATTTTTCATTTAAACCCTGGGGCTATTTTATTTCCATAATATTTTTTAAATATGTAAAGTACCTTGTATTACTAACAAAAAAATTAACCCAAAAAGAAAGATAAAAGGGCTATAGCATTGATCTAAATTAATAAAAATAGATTAAAAAACAATATCCAAAACAAGGGAAAAGTCGAAAAAAACCAAAAGACGGGAAAATTTTAAAGAGATTTAGATAAAAACTCTTTTACATAAAAATAACATTTTTTGGTCAAAAAACAACCTTCTTTTAGGATTAAACCCAATTTATTATTTAGTACCTTTTATTAAAAAAATTTGTTTAAATTTTAAAATCTTATGTGGATTTGTCTATACATGTATTTTAAATTCCGGCAAAATTTGGTCTTCACTGACCCAATTTAGCATAAAGCAAAAAATAAAAAATTTAAAAAAGTCAAAAACTCTAAAATTAATTTCATATACCTAAAATTTTTAAAATTTGGGGTTTTTTTTTTTCTATAAAGCCCCAGGAAAATTTTGATCTGATGTACTGTTTTTGTGTATGTACTTTCTCTTTTTTTCACTTTTTTTGATATTATTAAAAGGGTTTTCCACCACTATTTCTAAAACCCCCATTACAGAAACCCCAAATCTTGGTTTACCTTTTTGGGTTTTAAATTACCAACCCCACTATTTCTAAAAAAGACCCCCCTTTTTTAAAGAACCAAACATAACTGTCCCTTTTTTGAGGTTTTCTTCACTCCTGTGGCAGCTCTAGTCTGTTTTGACCAATCTGTCTGAAACTGAACCTTGTGTATAGTTCATGTATATCAGTGTTTTTTTTAATGATTGACAATACTTACCAGGTGGCTAATTTTATACCCCGGGCATATTTTTTAACCTTTCCCTTTTGGGGGCCCAAAAATTAAGAAAAAACAGTAATACCAAAAAAAAACACCCCCTTTGTTTATAAATTTTTGTAAGGCGAAAAAATGAAAAATATGCCAAAGTGGGTGCAAAAATATGACATGGCACCCAAATCAGCCGCATGTTTTAGAAAAGTTAAGTTTGCCTTTTGGGCCCTTTTTTGGTCAGTATACATAGAACCCAAAACCAAACCCTTTAGAATTTAGCTATTTTAAAAAGTTTTATATTTAAAAAAAACAAAAAGAAAACTGAAAAAACAAAGTCTGCAAAATTACCAGAAAAGAGGATAAAAAACAAGTGGAGCAAACTTTAGACAGGGAAACTTTCAATTCTAGACTGCAATTCAGACCTTGAACATAATAAAAAATTAAATTTAAAAAACGAAAACATCAGATTGTCTGTTTTTCAAAAATTTTATTTTTACATTGGAAAAGACAAATTTAAATCTGTGCATTGTGGTTTTATTTTTTTTAAAGGGTTTTTTTTGGAAATGTTTTAGAAAAAATTTAGATTTTTTTTTAAAAAATTTTTCTCAATTTTAGGGCCTTTATTTAAAACCAAAGTTTCCAGTAGTTGTCAAGATTGGCCATGCACATTGTGGCAATGGGAAGGTAAGTGTCATGTTCTTGTAGCTTAGACAGGTTTGCTTGGTAATTAATTTGAAACTCTTGGTAACAAAGGTAGCCCATCCTAATTTCCTGTACTGCAGCCAATGTAGCAAATCAGATTGATTAAAAAAAGATTTATGTGATGCCAAATTATGTTTAATCCTGAGTGTACTTTTTTCTACAAAGTTGTTTATTAGTCAACTTTTCTGTGAAAATGCATAATTTTATGTTACATTTAATATTATGTTCAAAATTTTGGATGGGTTAAACACTCATTCGGGAAATTTTAAGTAATGTAGTCATTCAGGAACTATTTTCTTATAATTAATGCCACTCAGGAACTATCTTCAGTAATGTAGCCACTCAGGAACTATCTTCAGTAATGTAGTCATCCAGGAACTATCTTCAGTAATGTAGTCATCCAGAAACTATCTTAAGTAATGTAGTCATCCAGGAACTATCTTCAGTAATGTAGTCATCCAGGAACTAATCTTCAGTAATGTAGTCATCCAGGAAAACTATCTTCAGTAATGTAGTCATCCAGGAACTATTCTTCAGTAATGTTAGTCATCCAGGAGACATAATCTTAACGTAATGTAGTCATTCAGGAAACTATCTTAAGTAATGTAGTCATTCAGGAACTATCTTAAGAATGTAAGTCATCTCCAGGAAACTAGTTTAGTAATGTAGTCATCCCAGGAACTATCTTTCAATTGTAATGTAAGCGAACATCATAATTGGCTAGTCAATCCAGGAACTATCTTAATGTAGTCATCCAGAAACTGTCTTAAGTTCGATGTAGTCATTCCAGGAACTATCTTAAAGTTAATGTAGTCATTCAGGAACTTATTCTTAAGTAATTTGTAGTCATCCAGGAACCTATCTTTCAATAATGTAATTCAGGAACTATTCTTAGTAATGTAAGTATTCCAGGAACTATCTTAAGTTAATGTAGTCATCAGGAACTATCTTCAGTAATGTAGTCATTCAGGAACTAATCTTTAATGTAATGTAGATCATAATGTAGTTCAGGAACTTATCTTTAAGAATCTAGTCATCCGAGAAGCTAAGTAATTTGTAGTCATTCTAATCAGGAACTATCTTCAGTAATGTAGTCATTCAGGAACTATCTTAAGTAATGTAGTCATTCAGGAAACTATTCTTAAGTAATGTAGTCATTACCAGGAACTATTCATTAAGTAAGTAGTCTCCAGTAACTATGTTTAATTGTAGTCATCGGACTTCTAACAGGAACTGTAGTCTTCAGGAACTATCTTCAGTAATGCTAGTCATGTAGTCATTCAGGATTACTTAGGAACTATCTTAAGTAATGTAGTCATAACCTATCAGGCAAATGTTAGTCATCCATCTTAAGTCATTAATGTAATGTCATCCAGGAACTATCTTAGAGTAATGTAGTCATCCAGGAACTATCTTCAGCGTAATGTAGTCATTCCAGGAAACTATCTTAAGTAATGTAGTCATCCAGGAACTATCTTAAGTAATGTAGTCATTCAGGAACTATCTTCAGTAATGTAGTCATCCAGGAACTATCCTTAAGTAATGTAGTCATCCAGGAACTATCTTAGTAATGTAGTCATCCAGGAACTATCTTAAGTAATGTAGTCATTCAGGAACTATCTTAAGTAATGTAGTCATCCAGGAACTATATTAAGTAATGTAGTCATCGCAGGAACTATCTTAAGTAATGTAGTCATCATCAGGAACTATCTTAAGTAATGTAGTCATTCAGGAACTATCTTAAGTAATGTAGTCCATCCAGGAACTATCTTAGTAATGTAGTCATCCAGGAACTATCTTAAGTAATGTAGTCATCCAGGAACTATCTTCAGTAATGTAGTCATCCAGGAACTATCTTCAGTAATGTAGTCATTTCAGGAACTATCTTCAGTAATGTAGTCATCCAGGAACTATCTTCAGTAATGTAGTCATCCAGGAACTATCTTCAGTAATGTAGTCATCCAGGAACTATCTTAAGTAATGTAGTCATCCAGGAACTATCTTCAGTAATGTAGTCATCCAGGAACTATCTTAAGTAATGTAGTCATCCAGGAACTATCTTAAGTAATGTAGTCATCCAGGAACTATCTTAAGTAATGTAGTCATCCAGGAACTATCTTCAGTAATGTAGTCATCCAGGAACTATCTTAAGTAATGTAGTCATTCAGGAACTATCTTAAGTAATGTAGTCATTCAGGAACTATCTTAAGTAATGTAGTCACCCAGGAACTATCTTAAGTAATGTAGTCATTCAGGAACTATCTTAAGTAATGTAGTCATCCAGGAACTATCTTCAGTAATGTAGTCATCCAGGAACTATCTTAAGTAATGTAGTCATTCAGGAACTATCTTCAGTAATGTAGCCACTCAGGAACTATCTTAAGTAATGTAGTCATTCAGGAACTATTTTCTCTTGTTTTTCAGGTGAAGGTGGAGACTCACCATCAGTTCCAGGATATAGCAAGTGTTGTAGCACTGTCAAAATCCTACGCTGCTACTGAACAATTTATAGAAAGCAAATATGATATACATATACAAAAAATAGGAACGCATTATAAAGCCTTTCTGTAAGTAGATTTAAGAAATTAACAAAAATGATGTAGTAAATACATAGCATGAAGGATAAATTGTCAGTTGGTCTTTTATACATGTACACTATTAAAGTCAAATAACATAGAAACATCACCACACTTCTTTTAAACTGTTCAATGATTGACAAAAGAGTTGATTGTTGCATCTTTGTTGATAAGATCAGATAATTTTGTGCAAGTTTTTAAAGCCATTTTAGATACTGAAATTCCTGTTAAATGAATAAACTTGTATAATTTTCCTAAACCATAATAAACATACAATATTACTGTTTGTTACTTTGGTCATACCATACTATCATGTTGTCCGGATCAAATTTGATTGACAAGTTATCCCGAATGAACTGTACTTGTGCATATGTTGTTCTTGTACATATGTTATCCTAAATGAACTGCACTTGACAACCATATTTGTAAATGTTGTTCGAAATAAAGTGTACTTGTATACAGATATGTTCTTTTGAAAGAACTGTACTAAAAGTCTTGTACATGCTGTTTTGAACTAACAGTACTTTTACATGTTGTTTTGAATGAAATGTCATCAAACATTTGTCTCATTGTTGCACAAATCGTAGTTTCTTGAAGTTTGTTGTGTTGCACACATTGATTTTATTTTTATTTCATACAATATTTTATTGTCTGATACTAATGTACATGTATGTAATCTTCATTTGCATGCAAGGTTAATGAACTTTTTTTAGCCCTACCCCTGCAGCAACAGAGAGTAAACTTCATTATTTGATCAGTATCATTTTAATATTTTTCATGATATATTTACATAGAATATATTTCTCAGTCTGTGAAATGACATTATATTATAATTTTATAGCTTTAGGCTTGGACAGAAATTAAGATTTCTTGATAACCTGTAGCATTTAATTGTTTGAAAGGATTTTGAACTTTATATCAATTTATAGATTTATTTATGATATAGATTGAATCCAGAATTAAGAATATTTTGGGTTTTTCCAGCCAATCTAGGGTACATGTACAAACAAACTTTTACGATTACAGCTTGGAAAATATGTGCAGGTTGACTTAGATCTATTGTGAATGGTAGTACTTTGTTAAGCTAAAATGGTAAAAGTTTGTTTGTACCAGGGGAATAGCTTGGAAAAAGCCACATTTGCCGATTTCCTGATAACAACTGTTGAAAAACAATATAGGCCACTTCTCTAGAAAAATAAGTTACAATTCTATAGTGGTTTGTAACAATGCTGCAGTACTGTATTGAATATTGAATACAGATTGTTCTTTAGCTTCAAAGGTGCAATGCACAATTAAACAAAGCCTTGTGTCTAAATTGTTTTATTTTTGTTACATGAATAAGTGAACAACATTTCAGTAGTGAATTGATGATGAAAATTTAACAAACAAATATATCATGTAACCTTCTTTATTTATATTTACATGTATATTTATATTGTAGTTTATTTTATTTTGTATTAGATGTTGTGTTGTGTGCATCATAGAATCTCTAGACCATTCTCTTTCATGCTGGGTAAGTTTATGATCATAGTTCATATTAGTTATCCTTAAAAAAAAAGTTATTTAAAGGGAAATAACTCTAAAGAAAAACAACTAAGTAATAGTTGCCTCCCCTTTTTGAGCAATCTTTAATACTTCATTTGCATTGAATTTCTGGAATGAAGATTTAGAAGTTTATCTGATTTTATTGTTAGACTATAGGGATATATGGAGATTTATTACTCTTTTGTGATATGATTAAAAGAAAGGGGAAAAAAGAGATTATAAACTACTTTCAAGTTTGATTACTGGAATTAGCAGTACTGTTGATGTGACCTGAAACATGATAATGACCTTGATTGCCCTGTGACCATTAATTTAAACTTCTATATAAGGTCACAGCTCTGTCATAATTATATACATGTATAGGGAATATTGAATGAGTGTAGGTTCAAAACTGAATTTATTGAACAAGTTTAATAAAATTATATTATACGAGCCTCTGGCGAGCATGATATTATCTTATTTTAACGAGGTCAATAAATTCAGTAATGCTACTAACTCTACATGAATATTCTATTTATCACATACCCAAAAAAATGACTGTTTAAAGTGCAAAAGAATCATTTTTCATTGATGCGCCTATAATGTTATAACACTATTATTTAGCATGTTTTTACACTATCTTATATATTTTTAAACGAAAATGACGTCTCTTCAAAATATAATATGCATGGCTGTGCAATACCATTTTTACGGATTAAAAAAAAAGGCTTGGGTATGTGATAAACACATAAAATACACAGCATGCTGTTGCACAATTACGGAATATCACTTTTGTATGTAAATTGATTTTATCATTTTCATTGGGAGGCATTAATTAGGCCCTATTCTCCTCTTCAAAAAATATGCAAAAGGACTTTCTGCAGTTCTTGATAATTAAAGAACAACATTGTGTCCTGTTTTATTATTCTGTAGTAAAGTTAAATTTTATCATTGATGTTGCTTTTATTGTTCCCTTTTTGTTATATACATTTTACTAACGCTATGGTCAGTGTCCAGATTAATAGTTGGTCACTTGCAGAGAAATTGGTAGTTTCTGATAAAAGTAGCAGGTTCAGTTGAGCACCTGCCAAAATATGACCAAAAATGTGTCGGAATCAGCATAAAAACCAAAACAGCAAATTCAGACAATGTTTCCTTTCCAAAAGGGACCTATTACTTTGTTTACACTGCAAAAAAAGCGAAAAAAACATATTAAGTAACTGCTAGTGACGTAGGTTAACAATGTTTCTTAAAAATATTCTGACAAAACTAATGTAGGAATACTGTTATACATGCTCATTTTATCTTGCCTCATTTAGTCTATATTTATGCACTGGCAGCTTTCTCCGAGGAATTATTCCTCCCAACCATCCTCCAGTATAAAATGATTTACATGTTGAATTCACTTGTGTATTCATGGTGTATCAATTGATATATTTCACTTGTGTATTCATGGTGTATCATTTGATATATTTCAGATGTGTATTCATTGTGTATCAATTGATATATTTCAGATGTGTATTCATGGTGTATCAATTGATATATTTCAGACGTGTATTCATTGTGTATCAATTGATATATTTCAGACGTGTATTCATGGTGTATCAATTGATATATTTCACTTGTGTATTCATGGTGTATCATTTGATATATTTCAGACGTGTATTCATGGTGTATCAATTGATATATTTCACTTGTGTATTCATGGTGTATCATTTGATATATTTCAGATTGTGTATTCATTGTGTATCAATTGATATATTTCAGATGTGTATTCATTGTGTATCAATTGATATATTTCAGATGTGTATTCATGGTGTATCAATTGATATATTTCAGATGTGTATTCATTGTGTATCAATTGATATATTTCAGATGTGTATTCATGGTGTATTCAATTGATATATTTCAGATGTGTATTCATGGTGTATCAATTGATATATTTCAGATGTGTATTCATTGTGTATCAATTGATATATTTCACTTGTGTATTCATGGTGTATCAATTGATATATTTCAGATGTGTATTCATGGTGTATCAATTGATATATTTCAGATGTGTACACATTGTGTATCAATTGATATATTTCACTTGTGTATTCATGGTGTATCAATTGATTTTTCAGATGTGTATTCATGGTGTATCAATTGATATATTTCAGATGTGTATTCATGGTGTATCAATTGATATATTTCAGATGTGTATTCATTGTGTATCAATTGATATATTTTCACTTGTGTATTCATGGTGTATCAATTGATATATTTCAGATGTGTATTCACGGTGTATCATTTGATATATTTCAGACGTGTATTCATGGTGTATCAATTGATATATTTCAGACGTGTATTCATGGTGTATCATTTGATATATTTCAGATGTGTATTCATTGTGTATCAATTGATATATTTCACTTGTGTATTCATGGTGTATCAATTGATATATTTCAGATGTGTATTCATGGTGTATCAATTGATATATTTCAGATGTGTATTCATGGTGTATCAATTGATATATTTCACTTGTGTATTCATTGTGTATCAATTAATATATTTCACTTGTGTATTCATGGTATATCAATTGATATATTTCAGACGTGTATTCATGGTGTATCATTTGATATATTTCAGATGTGTATTCATGGTGTATCAATTGATATATTTCAGATGTGTATTCATTGTGTATCAATTGATATATTTCACTTGTGTATTCATGGTGTATCAATTAATATATTTCAGATGTGTATTTCATGGTGTATCAATTGATATATTTCAGACGTGTATTCATGGTATATTTCAATTGATATATTTCAGACGTGTATTCATGGTGTATCAATTGATATATTTCAGATGTGTATTCATGGTGTATCAATTGATATATTTCAGATGTGTATTCATGGTGTATCAATTGATATATTTCAGATGTGTATTCATCGGTGTATCAATTGATATATTTCAGACGTGTATTCATGGTGTATCAATTGATATATTTTAGACGTGTATTCATGGTGTATCAATTGATATATTTCAGACGTGTATTCATTGTGTATTAATTGATATATTTCAGATGTGTATTCATTGTGTATCATTGATATATTTCAGATGTGTATTCATGGTGTATCAATTGATATATTTCAGACGTGTATTCATGGTGTATCAATTGATATATTTCACTTGTGTATTCATGGTGTATCAATTGATATATTTCAGACGTGTATTCATGGTGTATCATTTGATATATTTCACTTGTGTATTCATGGTGTATCAATTGATATATTTCACTTGTGTATTCATGGTGTATTCATTTGATATATTTCAGACGTGTATTCATGGTATATCAATTGATATATTTCAGATGTGTATTCATGGTGTATCAATTGATATATTTCACTTGTGTATTCATGGTGTATCAATTGATATATTTCAGACGTGTATTCATGGTATATCAATTGATATATTTCACTTGTGTATTCATGGTGTATCAATTGATATATTTCACTTGTGTATTCATGGTGTATCAATTGATATATTTCAGACGTGTATTCATGATGTATCAATTGATATATTTCAGACGTGTATTCATGGTATATCAATTGATATATATTTCAGACGTGTATTCATGGTGTATCAATTGATATATTTCACTTGTGTATTCATGGTGTATCAATTGATATATTTCAGACGTGTATTCATGGTGTATCAATTGATATATTTCAGATGTGTATTCATTGTGTATCAATTGATATATTTCAGACGTAAATCAATCTCTGGTAACTGGAAAGCTAACACTGGCTCCGCTATGCTGGAACAAGTACAGATGAATGATAGGTAATGGTAATTTTTTTGTTAGTCTCTGGTCTATATATAATAATAATTCAAGTTTGATCACTTTTACCTAGCTATAGTCTCCAGTCCCCTATCCCCCTCCACAACCTTTCATCCCACTCCCATCTCTCCCTTACTGGTATATGGGTCTTTCTAGAACTAACCAGTATTGGTGTCTTTCTGGAACTTACCAGTATTAGTGTCTTCCTGGACCTAACCAGTATTGGTATTTTCATTGGCTAACCAGTATTGATGTCTTCCTTGTAATAACCAGTATTGGTGTCTTCCTGGAACTAACTGCTGTCTTCCTGGAACTAACTGCTGTCTTCCTGGAACTAACCAGTATAAGTGTCTTCCTTGAACTTACCAGTATTTGTGTTTTCCTGGACTAACCAGTATTGGTGTCTTTCTGGAACTAACCAGTATTGATGTCTTCCTGGACTAACCAGTTTTGATGTCTTCCTCGACCTAACCAGTATAAGTGTCTTCCTCGAACTAACCCATATAAGTGTCTTCCTCCAACTAACCAGTATTAGTGTCTTCTTGATGTCTTCCTGGAACTAACCAGTATTGGTGTCTTCCGGGAACTAACCAGTATTGATCTATTTCTGGAACTAACCACTATTGGTGTCTTCCTGGAACTAACCAGTATTGGTGTCTTCCTGGATCTAACCAGTATTGTTGTTTCCTGGAACTAAACAGTATTTCTGTCCTAGAACTAACCAGTATTGGTGTCTTTCTGGAACTAACCAGTATTGGTGTCTTCCTGGATCTAACCAGTATTGGTGTCTTCCTGGAACTTACCAGTATTTGTGTCTTCCTGTAACTAACCAATATTGTTGTTTCCTGGAACAAACCAGTATTTCTGTCCTAGATTTTACCAGTATTGGTGTCTTCCTTGAACTAACCAGTATTGGTGTCTTCCTTGAACTAACCAGTATTGGTGTCTTCCTTGAACTTACCAGTATTGGTGTTTTCCTTGAACTAACCAGTCTTGTTGTCTTCCTTGAACTAACCAGTCTTGTTGTCTTCCTTGAACTAACCAGTATGGCAGACTGAACGGATAAAATACTTCTTTCTGGCAAACTGAATGGGGGGATTTTTTTATCTGTCATATCAATAATATTCTTGTTAGGTGTTTCTAGCAAAGTTAGTGATGAGAGAATGAAGAAAGATCAACCTGGTGATAGCTTAAAGCATCACAGATTCAGATGAGTGAAGTAAATCATACTGAAGGAAAACTATTATTTGTTGTTTAAGAAATGTATAAAATTTCACAATCAAGATGAAACTTATTATGGAGTATATGACAAGACCTTTCCATTTTCATCATCACTAAAATTTTCCCCAAGTTTTCATAATAACTGACACAAATTTGGAGGCACACTGTTATAAGTAGGAGATACATGTTAGGAAACTTCAAAACAAAACTTTCTTTCAGCCTACACAATATTGATTAGCGTCCTGACTAGTGTAAAACATTGATCTTTAAATTATTACACCTCTTTGATATGTCATTCATGCAGAAGGTTTGTCCTGTCAAGTGAAAAAGCATTATTTTGTCAGAATACTCTTCAAAAAGAAAACAAAATTAGGTATGCCAATACTCTTCAGTAGAGAAAACATTATTAGTCTATAAGCTATGCTGTCAAAGATTTAATCATTAAATTAGATTGTCTGGAAATGTGTGCTGTTATTCCCGAGAAACATCGATACTTGAAATTTTTAGATGTATTTCATTAAACGGTAAAGTAGCACCATTTTGTCTTCTGCTGTAAGAAATTGAATATAGTTTCAAGCGTACAGGATTAATCTATATTCAGACTTGGATAATTTAAAGAGCAGAAGATAACATCCATGTCTGTATACATTATTGTCTATCATCTACTATTTTATCTCATGAAATTGAGGTTGTATCAGCGGAAATTATTGACCAGGAAATTATGAGAGAATAAAGTAGGAAGAAAAACATGGAACTGATAATATCGGAGATATTATTCAGATTATATTGACATCCTGTGTTCGTTAACAATTAATGTTGTTTAAAAGAAGACTTCAAAGCAGGTGGCCGCTCACAGCAAAGTTAATGTTGCAGAAATTATTCAAAACCTGCAGCAGTTTAGTTTGAATCATGAATTGGCATAGTCTCTTTTTCAAAAGCTTGCTAAAAACTGAACCTGCTGATTTGCTAATGTTACCTGAAGTGTAGTGCCAGCCTGGCCGGGCTCTGTACTGTTGTTAGCTCCATATTTATCTTGTCTGTTTCCAGAAAAAAGTTAAGCCTTTAAAATCACTTCGTTAAAGTCATTGTTGTCATGCAAAAACTTTAATGAAGCTCTCTGTTCAAACATTTAAAAATTATCAATATGGAACATGAAAACTTGCTTATCATGTCAATGGGCAATTGTTAGACATGGGGCATAATTCTGAAAGTAATATTTTTGGAGTTATTCCCCTTTTTCAGTAAAAGTCTTTAGCAGATGAGTGGTGCGTTGTTTCTATTTTGAAATCTCTGAAACTTTAAATGGTCTGTTCTAAATTCAAAGCAGGGTAAAGCTGGTACACAAATATAACAGCTTATGGGTTAAATAAAAGAATTTAATGTCTCTGCCTCTAATCTTTAGCCAATTGCCCCTCACCACTGTGGGTTCGAATCCCGACAGGGACTTTGGATTCTTTCATGTGAGGAAGCTATCCAGCTAGCTTACGGAACGTCGGTGGTTCTACTCAGGTGCCCATTCGTGCCTGAAATAATGCACGGAAGGGCACCTGAGGTCTTCCTCCACCAGTAAAGCTGGAACATCGCGATATGACCTATACTGTGTCGATGTGACGTAAAAAACCAAAACAAACAAACAATGATCTTTAGACAGTTGTTTCTTAATCTTTCTCTGATGTCTGCCTCAGGAAATTACTTCTGTGTCAATTAAAATTATTGGACATAAAATACTGGTAGTTAGAAATAATTGAAAGTCATATTCTTCAATTTTGTATTCTGTAACAAGACATTGATTTGTTGCACCAGAGGAAGATGCCCAATTAGCTTGTGGAAGTTTGTTGGTCCCTCTCAGATGATTTCTAAACCAAACCTTTTGATAAGGCATGGTGTTTGTGATCTTCTTTCATAAATTGGTACAGCTGGAAAAGTGTCACATACTATAAAAATAATACCACAGTGTTTACTATTACTCAGCAAATCCCAAAATATTTTAAATTTCCCCACTCTGCTCTCCCACACATCGTCTCTCATTACACTGATACCCACAAAAATATACATGTACAAGTAAATCAATGGTGATAGATGTAATAAAGTAATAGAAAGAGCATCGAAACACATGCCTATCTGATTTGTACGAGGGGGCATAGCCCCCCCCCCCCCCCCCCCCCCCCCCCCGAGTATAAATCAGATTGCTGAGTGTGTGATGTTCTTTGTCTTTTGTATCATAGTCAAACATAAAAAACACATTCCCTGTTGTCACAATATGAAACCCTAGAAAAAAGGAAACCAATGAACAAGCATCTGAATATGATATTTCTTTTGCTTTCGCTTTCTCTGCTGTCACAGTAATAAACCCCAGCAAAAATGAGCCAATCAATGGGCATGCTCTAGAGTGCGGGTAACTTATACCTGCACTACAGTTAACGCACTGTGCATGACTTGTATATTTATATGATTTAACTCAACAGAAAGATTTCAACAGAAAAGTCCCCAAACTATGATGCTATAAAATACAAATGTATGTAAATTTTAAAAAAAAAGAACAAAAAAGAATCCTGCTACATGTTATATTTGAATTACACCAGGTACAAGTTATGGGTAGATGAATGCAGTAAGATATTTGGTGGTCTAGATGTTCTAGTTGTAGAGGCAATACAAGGTAAAGACGGCAAAGAATATATTATAGGGGTAAGTTATACAATCATCTTACACAAACGTTTTTATACCAGTCATTTCTATCACAGGATTCATTGTCCTAGAACTTGTTTGTTTGTTTCATTTTACGCCTTTTCCCAACAGTATTTCATTCATATAGGCGGGTAGTATCCTAACCATCGTTCCTGGAGAGTTACACCAGTACTAGACTACCTTCCTCCGCGCTAAACTACCAAAGCATCTCCCAGGGATCGAAACCCACGCCAGAGAGGTAAGTGGATTAGAAGTCATCGACTCTAACCCCTCGACCACGGAGGCGGTTGTCCTAGAACTTGACATATTACAGGAATGGTTAGAAATGTGCTCCTTGACCAATTTTGTTTTGTTTAATTTTATATCTTCAGATCAACTTCATAGCTGTGCATTAAAGTCTGCAGGGTACATTATTGAGATTTTTTCATGTGAAGAATGTTATTGAGTTAATTTTTGTGAGCTTTGTGAGAAAAAAATTGCCATTATGACCTTGGCAGGTCACAAACACAAAGATTTCATTGAATTTCTTTGCATCTGAATTTCTTTGATTCCTGTAAAACAGTGACTATACTTATGTATTACTTGTATTATTATCAATATTATTATGGTAGACTATCATAGAGAAGACTGGTCATGCCTTAAACTTTGTTTGCCTCCTAAATAAAGTCTCTCTTACTATTATTGCTTGGGACAATAAACCAAAAATCTTTAAGATATTTTCCTACAAGTGATCTGAAAATCTTCTAAATAAAGTCTCTATCATACTACTATTGCTTGGGACAATAAACTTAAATGCTTCAAGATATTTTCCTAAAAGTGAACTAAATATAAATGTATTGTTTAAGTATTACACTTCAGTTAAACTGTGTTCATACTTTGTCTGGAAAACAACCATTTTTGTGTATTTTACGAGGGTTGTTCAAAAAGTAATAGGACTGCAGCTCTACTGTTCACATTTTTTCATCTACGTACACGAGTTTACAAAAATCGAATATCGGAATTTGTCCTCTACATACAGTGAAAAAATCAATACAATATGTTCAAAAACAACAATTCTGTACAACTTACAAATGACAAGGGGTACGCGACCTGGCGCACGCTAAAAGTTAAATAAATGACGTTCATGACGTCGCAAAATAAATTCAAAATGTAAACAGCGTCATTCTTTCTGAAATTATTCTACACAATGTTCTAGGTGCTTGAATCATGATACTATAACCAGAACTCATCTGTGGCGATGTAGCGAAAAAAGCAATCACATTTTCATTTCTTTATTCGAAACATGCCCGGTGGCCGGCAACTTTCGGTTTTATCTCGTGATTTTGAGTATTCTGGAAGCTAAACGGGCATGGACATATAATGTAAATGACAAAGTGATTCATATTATTTATTTACACATGCCATCTTACATTCTTAAAACAATATGATTATGTACAGTACATTAAAAATGCTTATTGATTGAAAAATATTTTCTTCTTCTGAGCACAGGCTATCATTCATTAAACGAAACCGAGAAAAATTGATACCAATAATTACCGCGTATCATTATCAAATTTATTCAATGATAACACACACACATATATATATCTTATAAAATAAAATAGTGTTGAAAAGAAATTTCCCCTATTCAATAATTTTCTTAGAACTGAAACAGTAGACCCGATGCAAACATGCCGAACAGTTCGCGGACTGTATATCGCCGATACTTTTGTAGCGCTATTGCAATTAACGTCTCTAAAGTCCGTCAATTTTCCGCTTTCTCCCTAGCCCTTTCGTGTCAGTGATCTCATATTCACCGTCTTGAACTGCTTTCCCCAGCTGAAAACGAGTGTCCTAATTGCCTAATTATTGTTCTGTGAAAATTTAATCTTTTCATACGTAGCTGAAGGAGTAGGGTCTATCTGTTGGCAAAATTTAATGATCGTACACATTTTAAGTTTTTCAACGAACGTCATTTTTCTACATTTAACGCTATTACCACTGCTGTTCAAAACGTTATAGTTTAGCGATTTCTTGTCTGAATGACGTCAAATTTGGACAACATGACACTTTAATATGATAAAATGTGTTGGTGAAATATTAGGGGGAAAAGACAACATATTATGAATAAACTGAAAGTACAAATTAGCGTCAAAATATTTTTGATGCGGTGCGCCGGGTGCGTGTTACCATGGTTATTTAATATCACAGGGAACACGCATTTAGCGCAATTATTCAATAAACTTAAAAGCTGAAGTTGTAGAAAATAATTAACTATTGCCGTTGATATGAAAATATTTAAACTCTAATGGAATATGGAGACATAAGACTCTTAGTCCTATTACTTTTTGAACAACCCTCGTATATGATGCAGTTCCCAGCTTGAAGAGCAATTTGTGTTTTATGTTTTATGCATATTCTGATATTTCGCCCACATGTTTTAAGATGACTTTAACTATAACAGGAAACTCATTATTTACCAAAGTCATCGATTTTTATTTTTATAAATATTGGGAGGAAAATGTAATAATCTCCATAGTTTATAGAAGCTTTACAAGTTACAATAATGAATGATACAGATTCCTTAATAAATAGTATTTTGGTGGGTTTCTTTTTAGTTGTTGTAATCCTAGCATATTAAGATGTCAATTTTTTTTGTTTGTTTGTTTTTGTTTAGTTGTAAGCTGTGACATTAAAATCTTAAAGGCAATTGATTGCATCTTAATCCTTATTTCTAGCATGTTATAGCAGAATTTCTGTGATCTCTCGGTCCCATTATTCACAATCTGCAATCTCTTCCTCCTAATCACACTTCTGCACTCAAATATTGATTTCACATGATACTATTACTATAGGGGGTTAAAACGTGAAATGATTGAAGTGATAATAGTTAAATTATGATGGCAGCTCACTCTAATTTTCTATGTATTGTAAAGTAAGTTAGTTATATCTGAGGTTTAATTCTTGACACCATATACAGGATGCAGATATTGGATTGCAAAAACTTTAAACTGTTATATCATCTAAATCAATTGAGCACAAACTTTTCCTGTAATTTTCAGGTTTCTCTGTGATGCTTATTTCAGCGTCCTAGTATGCATGCATATTGCTGCTGGGTGTGTGTTTAACTGTCAAGAGATCCCCTCCCCTTCAGAATATTCCCGCATCAGAATATTCCCCCCTCAGAATGTTCCCCAATCAGAATATTGCCCCATCAGTATATTCACCCATCAGTATATTCCTCCATCAGAATATTCTCTATCAGAATATTTCCCATCAGAATATTCCTCCATCAGAATAGTCCCCCATCAGTATATTTCCCCATCAGAATATTGCCCCCTCAGAATATTCCCCTATCAGAATATTTCCCCATCAGTATATTTCCCCATCAGAATATTGCCCCCTCAGAATGTTCCCCCATCAGAATATTACCCTATCAGAATATTTTCCCATCAGTATATTTCCCCATCAGAATATCCCCCCCTCAGAATGTTTCCCCATAAGAATATTCTTCATCAGAATATCCCCCTATCAGAATATTCCCCCATCAGAATATCCCCCATCAGAATTTTCCCCCTCAGAATATTCCCCATCAGAATATTCCCTGTCACAATATATTTTGAAGGTATTTTAAACTATGAAGTATAATTTCAGGTAAATGACTCAGCAATGACACTGCTAGGGGAGACCCAGGAGGAAGATCGTAAACTAATTAGTGAATTAACTCTGTCAAAGATGCAAGCAACCTTAAAACCAGTCCAGACTTCCATGTAAATATTTCTATATTAACTAATGCTTTATACATAACACTTTTATTGAAATTGCTTTATTGATTTTTTTCCTACATCATCATATATAGCATTTGAATTTAGTACATTATCATAAATTAATGCAATTTAGATTAAGAGCATTATCATGAATTTATGTCACTTGAATTGAGAGCATTATCATGAATATATGTCACTTGAATTAAGAGCAATATCATAAATTTATGTTGTCACTTGAATTAAGTGCATTATCATAAATTTATGTTGTCACTTGAATTAAGAGCATTATCATAAATTTATGTCACTTGAATTAAGAGCATTATCATGAGTTTGTCACTTGAATTAAGAGCAATATCATAAATTTATGTTGTCACTAGAATTAAGTGCATAATCATAAATTTATGTTGTCACTTGAATTAAGTGCATTATCATAAATTTATGTCACTTGAATTAAGAGCATTATCATGAGTTTGTCACTAGAATTAAGTGCATTATCATAAATTTATGTTGTCACTTGAATTAAGTGCATTATCATAAATTTATGTTGTCACTTGAATTAAGTGCATTATCATAAATTTATGTTGTCACTTGAATTAAGTGCATTATCATAAATTTATGTCACTTGAATTAAGAGCATTATCATGAGTTTGTCACTAGAATTAAGTGCATTATCATAAATTTATGTTGTCACTTGAATTAAGTGCATTATCATAAATTTATGTTGTCACTTGAATTAAGAGCATTATCATGAGTTTGTCACTAGAATTAAGTGCATTATCATAAATTTATGTCACTTGAATTGAGTGCATTGTCATAAATTTATGTCACTTGATTTTTAAGAGCATTATCATGAATTTGTCACTTGAATTAAGAGCATTATCATGAATTTATGTCACTTGAATCAAGAGCATTATCATTAATTTATGTCACTTAAATTAAGAGCATTATCATAAATTTTTCACTTGAATTAAGAGAATTATCATGAATTTGTCACTTGAATTAAGAGCATTATCATAAATTTATGTCACTTGAATTAAGAGCATTATCATAAATTTGTCACTTGAATTAAGAGAATTATCATGAATTTATGTCACTTAAATTAAGAGCATTATCATAAATTTGTCACTTGAATTAAGAGCATTATAATGAATTTGTCACTTGAATTAAGAGCATTATCATGAATTTGTCACTTGAATTAAGAGAATTATCATAACTTTATGTCATTTTAATTTTTTAGTGCATTATCATGAACTTACACCACTTGAATTAGGTGTATTATCATAAATTTATGCCACTTGAATTAAGTTATTATCGTAAATTTAACTCACTTGAGTGCATTATTATACATTTATGTCACTTGATGTATATTATGCTGTGGTACGTTACAGGAAATCATCTAGCAATAGTTCTGTCATTGGTTACACCATGAATGGTAATGGTTCCGGTATGAGTCTAGGCATGGCTGGGAGCCAGCCATCAGCTTCCTCTGCTGGTAGACCTCAACAAGTAGCCGGGCAACAGCAAAGGCAGCATCATGACCCAAGAGGTCAACAAGGTCAACCTGGACAACAACAACAGGTAAACCTCAAAAGTAATTATTTACTGAAATCCAATTGAACGCCGGCATGATAAAGCAACCCTTAACATTTACAAATGGCGTCAAAACACGTTAAAATTGTCATATTGTAGGTAAAAATAAAAAAGTGAATAACCCTTGAAATGTTAAAGATAAATATAAATAGAGTAACAATAAGCAAATTTTAAAAGTTTCTTATTTCAAAAGCTAATAGAATTGAATATCTTCAAAAATTCAGTATGTCAATAGAGGAATTCAGCAAAGTGGGTTTTTTCCAGCTAATCTGTAGGTGCAAACTAATTTTTACAGTAATAGCTTCACAATGCACTACCCATTAATAGATTAGTCATCCTGTTTCCCTTATTACTGTAAATATTTGTTTGTATCTACGTTTTTAGCTCGGAAGAAAATCAAATATTTTTAATTCCGGAGTTAGTCTATTAAAAAAAAAAGTAAGTGACGTTTAGGGTCATTTTGTCATGCTAGCGTTCATTTTTCATGTTTTGTGGTCTCTGTTATTTATTGTTGATTCAGAGTTCTACTCATCTTGGATATTAAATAAGAAATTAACCCACTCAAATTTATTTTGTTATTGAATTTTCTAAGTTTATATTTCTTGTTTAACCCTTTACCTCATTATATACGCGAACCAATGCACTTTCCACCCCCCCCCCCCCCTCTTTTAGGCCTTAAATAGTGAAAAAATGTCCTATTTGGGCCCCAAACACATTTTCGTTTGAGAAATGTTGCTAAAATAAGTGACCACTTTTTTGACGCCACCCCCCCATCCAAAAGATTCATCAGGGGGTTGCCAGAAGGGGGATGTACCCCCTTCTGTTTGGGGGGTTTGAAGGGGGGTGGTATTCCCCCTCATCACCAAGAAAATTTTAGACTTGTGAGAGGCTAAAAATGACCCCAGGTCGATCATAAGGTAACAGTCATGTAACCAACGCTGAAAAGCCTTTGACTCTATCTCAATCCCTTGAGAAGTTGCAGCACTTTGAAATAAATTTTGATGGAAAAAATCAAGGCAAAATAGTGATTTTTGGCAATTTTGAGATGTCCCCTCGTTGCCATGGTAACAGGAAATTTAAGACTGAGCCTGTCGTTACAAAGGCAATGGTCCAGTCAACATTTGTGACAAGTTTGATTAGTATTGAAGCATTTTTCATAGTTTCATAGCAGTTTGAACTTGTAACAGGAGGCTTTTTAATGAAAACGCCCATTTTTCACAATATGTTCATGAGGGAAAGGGTTAAGTTAGAGATTATAAGCAGGTCTAAAATTGAAATTCATTAGTTCAGTGACAACAATTTAATCTCTTTTGCTCATTTATAGATTACTATTTAATCATTCATTTCTAAACTTCCGATCTATCTAATACGGTGACCTATTTGATAACCAACAAAGATTTAAACATTTGTCATTTTCAAGACAAAATGCATTTAAAATACTTGTGTGATTTCACACAACATGTATTTGCAAAAACTTTTAGTCATGCATTTTCTTGAATTTGTATGCATATTTGAAATGAGATTGAATCTTAAGCTGTCTTGCAAGGAACCTAAAACTGAGACAATATGTTATCTTGAATATAGATTTTAAATCTGTGAAGTCTTTGCTTCTTATCTCTGTGGTTTTTATTTGTCAATTGATCAAAAGTTTAAAGTTGCTCTATTTCATTTTAATGTACATGTATAAAATGATGCAGCAAATCATTGATTTTCATACCAGCAAACTATGTGATCATGAAAATATTGCAATTTTCTCACCGCGATGTTATTATTATTATTATTATTATATACCACATTTCTATAGCACTCTTTTCATAAATAATAAATGTTCAAGAGTGCTTTACATAAATCCGATAAAACATAATCATATATATATATATAAGACATAATGTACAACATTAATTAAGTAAACCTATTAAACAATAATGATAATCTAAAACCAGTAAAGGATGGTAAGAAATACAGACACATTTAGTTTAAAATCAAGGCTCAATTAAAATTAACACTGATAATATAGCAAAAGTAGTACATGTATGATGATTTATGAACTAACGTCCATAGAACTTTATGAAATAATGTGTTTTGAGAGCTCTCTTAAAACATGGCAAGGTATTACAGGCTCTAATGTCAGGTGGTAACGAGTTCCATAATTTCGCTGCGATGTATAGCAGATGCACCCAATATGAGATTGGACTGTTAATGATGGCATTTAGAAAGTTTATACCGTATCCTATATCTATATTACATTTAAGTGTAAAGTGTATTTTATGTTATCTGAAATTTAAAGTGTATTCTATGTTAAATGACACTTAACCCTTTACTTCATATAGACAAAATAGTGATTTTTGGCAATTTTGAGATGTTCCCTCCTTGCCATGGTAACGGGAAATTAAAGACTGAGCATGTCATTACAAAGGCAATGGTCCAGTCAACATTTGTGCCAAGTTTGATTAGTATTGAAGCATTTTTCATAGTTTCATAGCAGTTTGAACTTGTAACAGGAGGCTTTTCTATGAAAACGGCCATTTTTCACAAAATGCTCATGAGGGAAAGGGTTAAAGTGTATTCTATGTTATATGACACTTAAAATGTATTCTATGTTATATGACATTTAAAGTGTATTCTATGTTATATGACATTTAAAGTGTATTCTATGTTATATGACATTTAAAGTGTATTCTATGTTATATGACATTTAAAGTGTATTCTATTATTATATGACATTTAAAGTGTATTCTATGTTATATGACATTTAAAGTGTATTCTATGTTATATGACATTTAAAGTGTATTCTATGTTATATGACACTTAAAGTGTATTCTATGTTATATGATATTTAAAGTGTATTCTATGTTATATGACATTTAAAGTGTATTCTATGTTATATGACATTTAAAGTGTATTCTATGTTATATGATATTTAAAGTGTATTCTATATTATATGACACTTAAAGTGTATTCTATGTTATATGACATTTAATGTATATTCTATGTTATATGACACTTAAAGTGTATTCTATATGATATAACATTTAATGTGTATTCTAGGTTATGTGACATTTAGAGTGTATTTTATATTATATGACATTCAATGTGTATTCTAGGTTATGTGACATTTAAAGTTTACTCTATGTTATATGACATTTCAAGTGTATTCTATGCTATATGATATTTATAGTGTACTCTATGTTATATGACAACAGATGAATGGTAGTTCAAGACAACAGCAAGTTAACGGACCTCAATCTCAAGGCCTACCACACGCCCCGTTACCCCAGCAACAACAACAACAACAAGGTTTACCCCATGCCCCACCTCAACAGCAGCAACAACAACAACAAAGGCCTCCACCCCAGAAAGAAGGACCAAGGTACAATTAGTTGTTTAAAAAAAATAATTTAAAATCCGGTCATGAAAAACACATCTGTTTGAAATTTGTTCTAAAGAGTTTTAAAATTAATTTAAAATTTTTATTTTGTTTTTTCATCCTCAGTTTGATGTCACATTTTATATTGACTTAAAGGAATAGTGGACAATTCAACTCATCTTTGCTTAATTTTTTGTTAAGTTTGTGTGTACAACTTCATTTCCATTCTGCAGATGATATTAAAATTCTCTTGACACATCACATAATCATGTCTTTGAGATCATATTTGTAGTTCCCTGTGAAGGAGGAGGTTATTACTCTTGTCTGTTATGTAGGCTTGTCTTTAGCCAATGTTTGCCTTTATAATATATTCAACCTCTGTTGAGCAACACCTCTCAGTATATAATATATTCAACCTCTGTTGAGCAACACCTCTCAGTAGGGCTGTCATTGAATATCACAATATTGACATATCATCGATATTCATCGTCCGATACAATATCACATATCGATACAAAAAAATAATATTTCTGTTAGTTAATATACTTCTCTATTTTGGATTTTAAGAGATGTCACTTTTTTTCTAGTTTTCTTGGCTAACTTGAACTTTAAACACCATTTTCAAATGTCAGTGACAAGAATAACAGAAAAACAAACTTTCTGTTAGTTTGTTTGTAGTATTTGTAATGTGTAATACAAGCATGCATAACACCATGATCCCAATATTTAACACATACGAGGGTTGTCCCAAAAGTCTGTGACAAATTTTATAGACGGTTCATTTTTAACGCCAATAGAAAATGATTCACACATATAACCGTTAAGTTTATTATTTAACATTACAACAAATCATTTATAAAATATTCACTCTAGTTACTTAGAAATTTTCAGTATTAACGACATTGGTTTGAGTTGCCGGCGCACGTCAAATAATTTGCATTTTGTTATGAATAGGCTAAAATTAATTACGTATATTTCAAATATCTGATGATGTGTCTGCACAATGTCACATTGACTTCCTCTGCTGCTATGTTTACATCATCTCAGAAAATTTTAGTTAAATAACTTTAGAAACTAAAAAGATACGAATAAATGAAAATATCTCATATAAAATAGGAAAGATAAAATGGCGACGTTCTAAGAATTTGCGGCGCAGTGAACAGGCCACTCAGGTTTTATGACTATTTCGAGATGACACATGTTACGATTTTTAACAAATATACCAAATAGAACAGTTAAGCAGCATATCCTGAGCATTTGTTTACTAAAGGCGTGAATGGAAGCAGAATTTTGCGCTACAAAAAGCGAAAATAAGAAAAACACGGATAGAAAGACCGATCGCCATCGCCTATTTCCTACAGCTAAAAGCAGATGCAAGGAGACCGGAAGTTCGCGTATAGCAAAAATTAATGTTTGCCATCCAAACATGCAACATACATTAACAACCACATGATTTAAGTCTGTAATTGACGATTTATGGGTAAAGCTGCACCATTATTGCGTTGAAAGCCATTGAGAGTATTTGAGTAAGGCGCCTGATATAGATTTAACATCGTCTTTGACGTTTGACGTGCGCCACGATTCAGTTAGTTGCCATGGTGTTTATGTCATATTTTTGTTGTTTGTTGATATTTTGCTTTGTAAATTTGTGAAAATGTTTCAATAATATGGGTTTATAACATATTAAAATACCAAATTCGTACCTATTTTATTTAGTTTTTAAACAATCTTGTCACAGAATATTGGGACAACCCTCTTATATAAATGTTTTTCAATGTATCTACTGTCAATGCGATAATTATTATCAATGTATCGTCGATATATATCGATACAAAATTTTCCATCATTTACAGCCCTTCCTCTCAGCATCAACAAAAAAACATTTTCTTCCAAAGGGTGTTGCTCTGAAGGGGTGTTACTGTATATGTGTATACCTTCTATAGAGCTCCTGTCACAGGCTACAGTGGTGGTAATTGGGTCTAGCAATTTACTACTTAATTGATGCCAAACTAATTTTACACAATTTCCTATCATTATTCAATTAAGGCAATTATGTGTAATACTGATCACAGAATTCCTGATAACAAACAATTCAGTTACTTTTTGTCTTGTGTTACTTAAATACAATATACACAATGCTATAATTATGAGAGAAAATTTAGATGTCTGGAATTATATGGATGTAAAATACCCTTTAAATTCTTAACTTTTAAAGTTTTCATTTTCATACCTTTGGGTTCACTCACTCAGCTATAATAAACCTTCCCAATTGTATTTATCTTTAATATTGTCTAATGAAACAAAAAGTTTCTTAGATTTTCTTTCCTTCAGGCAATATTTTGTTTCTCTGTTTTCTTAATTAGTAAAGATTTATTGCAGAGTCCTTTTAAGAGCTTCTGTTTAGTTGATTGAATTAATTAATGACATTTCTTTTAAAGTGAAAAATGTGGTCTTTGTTTAAAACTGAATATGGTCTTTCTCAGAAAAAGTAATTTTTCATTGTATTTGTTGTACAGAAGAAACAAATGTTGACCTTAGATAAAAGGGTTCATATGGTCATTATTAGAAAATGCATACAGTAATGTTTTCACATAAAAATCCTGGGTTTTCTGTGGCGGATTGGTAAAGATGTTTGATTTTTGCATCACTTGCCCTTTAGCAATTGTGTGGATACAAATCCCACTTTGAACTTAGCAATGTTACATATGAGGGAGCTGTCTAGCTAATGGAACATTTTTTTACTAGTGTGCCTTAAAACATAACAAAACAATACTCCATTCTCCAACCCCTTAAAAAAACCAACATCAACAAAAACTCCAACCAACAAATTAATCTCAAAGATGGAGATTTCATATATATGAAGTTAAAGGGATAACATGTCAAGTTTAAATGTTTACAGATTACATAAAATGGTGAAACATGTATTTTTCTTGTTCAGAGGTCCCCCTCCTCACAACATGGTGCACAGACCCCCTCCAATGCCCGGTGAGGGACCACCACCTCAACAACAGCAACAACAACAACAGAGGCCAATGGCACGGGGACAGTCCAAGGACGGTGAAGATGATACGATGAAAAACCTGCGGAAAACTTTTGCTGGAATATTTGGTGATATGTAACATCTCTCAAAGATTTAGGACATTGTAGAATATAAAAATCGTTAAAAAATTATCTCCCTTTCTGACCATTTAAAGCTCAGACTGGGTGAAAAAAACTGATATTTTAAAACAATGCATAATAATAATTGAGCCGCGCCATGACAAAACCAACATAATGGGTTTGCGACCAGCATGGATCCAGGCCAGCCTGCGCATCCCGGCAGTCTGATCAGGATCCATGCTGTTTGCTATATGTTTCTCTGCTTGTTATAGGGTTTGTAAGCGAACAGCAAACCTATTATGTTGGTTTTGTCATGACGCGGCTCATATAATCATATAATACTGTATACATTGTAAGTTTTGTTATCACTAGAGTTGAGAAATTTGTATATTATTGTAATTGTTTATTATATATATATAGAGTAGAAGGTCAATTACTGCCATTTTTATGATGTTACATGTTAAAATAATTGTTCACAAAATAGTAAACACTTCTTATAACTTTGAATACGTTAAATCTTGTATTATATACATATTGATAGGATTCAGTGAATGTAAATTAACAAATTGTATTATTAAAAACTAGCTTGAAGTGACCTATTGACATCATGTTGATGGAGTAGCCTTGACAATGCCAACTAGACTTCATTTTGATTCAGTGAACTTGTGATAGTCAACCTGACCTTGGTTATCAAGATCTCATGTCGATGCAGTGACCTTGCCAAAGTCACCTTTACATGATTTTGATGCAGTGACCTTGCCAAGGTTATTCTGACCTCATGTTGATTCCGTGACCTTGTCATAGTCATCTTAACCTCATGTTTATGCTGTGACCTTGTCAATGTCACCCTGACCAGTTAAATCAGTGACCTTGCTTAAATCACCCTGACCTCATGTTAATTCAGTGACCTTGCTAAAATCAACTTGACCTCATGTTGATTCAGTGACCTTGCTAAAATCAACTTGACCTCATGTTGATTCAGTGACCTTGCTAAAATCACCTTTTAACTCATATTTATGCTGTGACCTTGTCATAGTCACCTTAACCTCATGTTGATTCAGTGACCTTGTCAATGTCACCTTTACCCCATATTTATGATGTGACCTTGTCAAAGTCACCTTGACCTCCTGTTAAATCGATGGCATTGCTTAAGACATCTTGAGCTCCTATGAATTAGTCACTCAGACTTTCTGTTTCTCCAGGAACGATGGTTAGGAAACTACCCGCCTATATGAATGAAATACTGTTGGAAAAAGGCGTAAAATGAAACAAACAAACAAACAAAAAACTTTCTGTTGATAACTGTTCATTAGTATGCCGGTATTAACTTTTTTCTGTACTTTCAATAAGACTTGTATATTGAGATAATAATTTTTGATGAATCAGGAATTCAAAGAAATGTAATACTAAAATATTTTAACATTTTTGTCTATATTTTATGAACAATTATTTGATATGTGACTGTACTGTATATTATATAGATATAACCTGTTTAATATTTCTTGTTATCTTTTTTTAATTCTTCATCCTAAAACATGTTAACATTCTCATTCAAATCAAAGACTTGGAATTATTTGCATTTCAGTATATAAGAGCAAGTTGGGTTTTAATTTTAAATAATGCAAATTTTGCTATGCCTGTAGCAAGTGCTGATAGAAAGAAAATAACCGAATAAGTTTACAAAGAAATAATTCATAATTAAGTTTCATAATACATGTATAATTTTATATATTTACTTTGACTTTGAGATTATTTTTATTATTAATTGGTGCAATTCAATGTAAGATTTTATTATTCTTACTCAGTCCATTTTTTTTTTTTTGCTGCAAAACAAGGCAAGGTCTCATATTTTTACATTGTTTAATACTCATGAAAGACTTTTCATACATAGTGTAG